AATACACCATCCTGAAACCTTGCCCCTAACCTTGGGCTGAGCACAACATAACGTGAAATAATCCACAGACAGTAACCGAATACTAACGAGACCATCAAACATTCCCTCTACCACCTTCAAGTTGTTGTTCTGAAGGTCGAGGAATTGCAAACTAGAAAGACGCATGAAATGACTTCTTTTTAAAGAATCTAGATAATTATTTGACAGATCCAAATGAATAAGTTTAGCCAGTTTTGAAAACGCATTTTCGTCGATAAAAGCAATGATGTTTTTGTTTAGCTTTAGGTAGAGAAGATTCGGTAGATCTGCAAGATTGCTCCTTCCTATCTGTCCAATTCTGTTGTAAGAGAGGTCGAGGTATTGAAGTCGAGCCTCGGATTGCCTTGTGTCAACAAATACAACAATGGATTCAAATTCATTATGTTGTAGGTGTAGAATTTGAGTAAAAAACAGAATTCTGCAATTCCTTAAATTGTTCTGACGAAGATCTAAAGTGATTGTTTCTAAATAAGATTTTGGTAGTTGCGTTAAATTGCAGAAACTGAAGTTTACGACCAGATGATGAAATCTTTGGATGAGATCCAGAAACCCCCGGGTTTGTATCATATTTACTTTGTTTCCGACAAGCATTTTAATAGGAAATGACACTGTCGAGATCAGTGAGCTATTATAAATGTTCAATTCAAAATATTGATGGAATTTTTCGGAAAATTTTATGTTTGTTAACGTGCTATACACTATTTCTAATAAGCGTAAAAAGTCATTGCTATCATCAATGAACGCCATTTGAGTAATTTCACAGTTTTTCATTTTGAGTTCACGCAAATTGACAGCTTTTTTTTTCGATATTTAAGAAACCGATATTGGAGGAAGTAATTTGAATTTTTTTCAAATTCAATTCTTGTCCCCTGAAATGTAACTGTACATGTTGTAAACTATAAAGTGTAAGGGATGTAGCGTAAACAGGTATATTTTGAGCAGAAGAACAATTTAGTGTCAAACCCTTACAAGAACAATTCACAGGACAAAACAAATAACATTTTCCTGAAACATCTACTGTACATCTTTGTCCGTCCTCGCAGAAATGCCAGTCCGGTATATAACGGCCCCTGTTTTTGAATTTTTTTATAATGTCTAGGTTGATCTCTGTCAACGTGGGTGTATCGCTGAAATTATTTGTTAAATTCGACGTACATTGATTATTCATACCGCCCAAATCTGAAAAATAAAAGTAAATATTTCATATATATCTTTTATTAGTAGAGTTACACAAGCATACTGCACAAATGAAAACATTCTTTCCTCTTCTGTCATTTTTTAAATATACATTTAAAAAATAATTTATCAATTTGATTACATTTTGTGCTTGCAAAATTAAGGAAATGGGGAATTTTAGAAGCATATTATTCAAGTTATAACCGGTATGATATTACAAAAGTTACTTTCTTGGATAAGATTTTTATTTGCTATATATATTTCTGCATTAAACACTGTGACGAAGAGATCAAACCAAAGTGATTTTAAGCATAAGATACAAGTACTTTGCTTAAAATATAATTAGTTATGGAAAATATTAATAAACTTTCAATCCTTGTTTTTCTTTGTGGTTTTTCTCTTGTTAATATTTTTTTCTTGTTGCTGTCTTTAGACAATCTTGCATTGAAAAACTAAGATATCCAGTAATGTAACGTGTATGATTGGGTTCTACAAGGGATATATGTACAGTATAATGCGTTTTCTCTTACTCTATCTGAGTTAATGATTGGACTAATAATTGTAGGGCCGCTCTATCTGAGGGAAAATCACAATTTATTTAAAATTGTGTTATCTAGAGACGTGGACTGGGTATGGCTTTTGCACTGTGTTTCTACACTAGGTTCCTTTTGATAGGAAAGAACTGAGTGCCTCAATCTTCTGCAGATTTACTGCACCCAGAACTTACCATCAATTCCTAGATCACCTGCCACTGGTGCTTATTCTACTCTTACCCTTTTTCTTCTTCTAATGGCTTCCTCTTTTATTCTTCCAATTTCAGCCGTAACTTTCTGAATGCCCTACTATTTTATTTCTTTCCTCCCAGCTTCTGATTCAACTGTCGGCTTCTTCAGCTAACTTCTGATTGCCTGATTTACCTAAAGCATCACTTGATATACCCTTAGACTGTCCTATTCCAAGGGTAGTCAGGTCATTCCATTATTCATTATTTAAGGTCTTCTCTGCGTTTATTTAAACGCCCCTTAACCATTACAGTAAAATACACTTACGTGTGTGATAAGCACACGAGTTACTTTAAAATGCACCAAAACAATATTTATATTATATTAGACATAAAAATAAATTAATTAAGTACAAACAATGCTGTACAATATAAAAACAAACAAACAGCAAAGACCTTGTTTTTTGGGGGTGGGGTCGGGGCTTGAGGTTTTCCTTTTTTTTTTTTCATGTTAGCATTTGAACAATTACATGTACATGTCTGGAATTTGACTGTGAACAGTATTTTTCTGTTTTATGTATTATTTTTCAGTGCATGGATAGAAAAATTACAGTAAACGGGAATAATTTAGATAAAGATACATACTACAATTTAATTCATCTTCTCCCAACAAACAGTCTGGCTTTGAATCACAAACACTTTTAAAGGGAATACATTCGTCACGGCCCTTTTTGCAGCTGAATTCATCTGGTCCACAACTCTCTGAAGAAATGTGCAAAAAGATGAAATTAATATATTAAGCATCTAATATTATCTCTTTGTGTGAGAGCGGGTGCGTGTGTTAGGGGTGAGTGTGTTTGTGTGTTTGTGTGTGAGAGCCTGAGGATGAGAGAGAGAGAGAGTGAGGGAGTGTGTAAGGGGGAGTAAGGGAGTAGGTGTATATGTAGTACTATGTAAGTGTGTTTTATTAAGTCATATTTTAAGTGTTGACTGGAATACTTATCACAAATCCCGCTGCTGATAGAAATGTCATCCAATAATATAAGTCCGTATATGTAACTTGAACTTGTAAATAAAGCTCGATATACAACCTGAAAATTGAGGAAACATTTTTATTAAAGTTATGATGTAGATGCATGTTAGGTTTTTGTTCTGGTCCTTGTTTGAAATTCACATGCATAAAATCTAAAATGTTTATTATTAAATGTGTGGGTGATATTATAGTTTGCAGTTTATTGTGAAGTTTTACTTTGCTTAACGATCTTGTTGACAACTGCGCTCAAGGTAAATTGTACACGCCTCCTAACCGCAAGCTTTACGACTGGAACTTTCTTTTTATCCCTGATTGGTTGCTCGTACAAAAGACTATTTCCGTGTCAATGTTGATAATATGAATTGATCAATCACGTGAATTATTTACGCTGGAAGCATCTGATGAAAAAGATCGTGACGTAACGCAAAACTTCTCAATGAACTGAAATTGATAATGATTCAGTGCATATATTATAATACAGTGGACCCTCATTTATCCGGACGCTTTGGTTCCCAGTCAATTTGTCCGGATATGTGAAGCATCCGGATATCTGAATCACCAGTTAAACAGGACAAAATAACATTTAAAAATTCCGTCCCGGTGAAAAAGCGTCCGGATACTGAAGCATCCGGATATCTGGCGTCCGGATATCTGAAGGTCCACTGTAAATGAAATATCGTCTTTGAATATTGATTGAGATAAACAACAAACAATTTTTTTGAGATAATATTTAAGAAAACAGAATACGTTTGCTAAACGCTTATACCCCTGTGTGGCAGCTTAAGATTAAAGTTTCTCAAATGCAAATCAAAGACTATGGTCAAAATTCAGAGATTAAAAATATTTTACCTAAAAAGGGAAAATGAACGCCCACTGGCGTAGCATTGTTTTTGAAAAAAAGGGGGGGGCCAGAAAAAAAATTCAACCTTCCTAAAAAAGCTTGAACGAAAATCCTATTTCGTGGGAGGGGGGGGGGTGTTAGGTGTTCAACGTCTTTCAGTACCAAGTACCAAATTTGCTCCCAACATTTGACCCTTACTCTCACAAAAAGGGGGGAGCAACTCGACCTCTACTAACCAATTTTAAAAAGCAAAAAGTTATGTCTGGAAAAAAAAGTTGGCGGGGGGGGGGGGGGCTCCTATTACTACGTGTTTAAAAGCCGAAACAACAACCATTCAAATTTTAGCTCCAAGTTGAAAAAGTTTTTTTTTCAAACGTCGAGTGTATACTGTTTCTGTAGCAGTGTGCCCAATGTAAAGTTAAGGTTGCATAGATCATAGAAGTATTCTTAGAATACCCTGGTATATCAAAGCATCACTAGTCTCCCAAAGCAAAGGTAATTTGGTTCTCCTTGTAAATAAGGCCACTGTCTAGTAAAAAAATACCGAAGCAGAATAACCCAAGTTAAGCACTAGCAAACCAAACATTTCAGAGCGAAATTTCTTTCATATAATACATAAAACAGAAGGTAATTACAAATTCTAACGAATACTTAAAATTAATATGTTCATTAATTTAGTTGGGATTGCTCACTTGAATTTTACTCCAACGGGGAGGGTGACTGCTGAACTGTGGAACTTCATCACGGATGAACCAGTGTGTGACGTCAGGATATGCGACAAATCATATGGTTGAAGATAATTACTGATGTAAGCAACAACAAGCTGTAAATATCATGACAAATAATGCTATTTTTGCTATCTAACAAAAAAGCCAAAAATATGCCTTTTTCTTGATGTTTTTTCTTATGGGAAACATAGAGCGCAGTGTAGAACATACATAATTTTTCTTTCACTAATTAGTATTGGATAGATACATCTTTCGTAAAAATATAAAGCTTGTTCTAGGCTGCGCTCCATATTTCTGGAAGAAAAACTACTTGAAAATAAGCAGTTTTATACAAAATATGCTAAAATGGCGGGAAAACGTGATTTTTATGATGTCATATTTCTAAAATAACGGCATTTTGATCAAAATGAAAATGACCAATAAAGGTCGCATATATAGCTGTACAAATAAAAACTATTATATAAAGTAAAATTTAGATATTCATTTTAAGGGGTCAATTGAGACACTTACCATATATCGCTCTTTATCGAAACTGGAGTTCGAAATATTAAACAAATAACAATCGTTACCCGATCTTTGAACTTTTCTCGTTTAGTGAACAAAACTTTTAACTCTAAAATATTTATGCTCTCTTGTTGCATAGGGACTTGTATATTTTCCCGGGTAAACACGAAACACAATTGCAGGCGCACAACAATGAAAAATTAATAAAAATCTTTTCAAAAATTGACTATCATGATATTCAATTAAAGATATGTTACATGTTACCATGATGAATTTAAAGCTGATTGATGCAATAAAGCGTAATAAAGCAAAATCACAATCAAACCAAACCGACAAGTATGAACAGCAATTTATCGAGTTCTGCAATCAAAAGGATCACTCACATTTTCCAAAATGGTGAGATGATTGTATGATTGAAAATGTACTTCATCAAAAGCTATGTTTATATCATTAGCTCAACTGAGCAGAAGGCTCAAGAGAGCTTAAATTTTCTGATCGTTTGTCCGTTGTCTTTCGTCGTTAATTTCTCAGATTTTAATCTTATTTTCAAGAACCACTGGGTCAATTTTAACCAAATTTGGGAAACAGTATCCGCAGGTAAAGTGATTCAAGTTTGATTAAATGAAGGGCCACTCTCCTTCAAGGGAGATTAAACAAGAGGCCCAGGGGTCACATCGCTCACCTGAGCAACTGGCTTAGTATGTGAAACTTAAAGCAAAAATCAGTTCTGTATTGAAAAGTTTAGGTATAAAAGTGGGTTCAGAGGAGGAGGGGGAGGTGGGTATTGGAACAAACTTCAATCTATACTTCCTATGGATACATTAAATAAATATGATACATACTCGTAATCGCTTTGCCGTTTATAAGATAAAAATTTATTAATATAGCCTTTGTATTCCTTTGTGTATCCACTTTTATGGATCCTCTATTTTCTGGTTCGTTATGATTTAAACAAACTTGAATCTAAACGACCCGAGGATGCTTCCATATAAATACGAACAATGGCAGCTTTGCTGTTTTTTAGAAGAAGATTCTTTAAAGATTTTTCCAATGTTAAACTTTGATCCCCCATTGTGGCCCGATCCTACCCCTGGAGATCATGATTTGAGCAAACTTGAATTAACAGAGGATGCTTCCACACGAGTTTCATTTTTCATGGCCCAGTGGTTCTGGAGAAGAAGATTTTTAAAGATTTTTCCTATGTATTCCTATGTTAAACTTTGAACCCCCCCCCCCCATCATGGCCCTATCCAAACCAAGTCAAGATTTACACAAAATTGAATCTACACTACCAGACGGTGCTTCCATATGAGTTTCATTTTTCATGGCCCAGTGGTTCTTGAGAAGATTTTTAAAGATTTTTCCTATGTATTCCTATGTTAAACTTTGACCCCCCATCATGACCAACCCTACCCCTGGGGGTCAAGATTTGAATAAACTTGAATCTACACTATACCAGAGGATGCTTTCACATGAGTTTTATCTTAATTTCCTGGCCCAGTGGTTCTTGAGAAGATGATTTTTAAAAGATGCCATTAATTTTTCACTAATTTATAATTATCTCCCCTTTGAAGAGGGCGTGGCCCTTCTTTGAATAAACTTGAATCCCCTTCACTCAAGGATACTTTGTGGCAAGTTTGAATGAAATTGGCCCAGTGGCTTTTGAGAAAAAGATGAAAATGTGAAAAGTTTACGACGCCAATGACACCAACAACAACGACAGACAACGAACAAATTTTGATTAGAAAAGCTCACTTGAACCTTAGGCTCAGGTGAGCTAAAAATGGTGAAAATGTGTGGGGTAAATTTAAATTTTTTTCTCAAAACATACATGTATGAGAGCTTTCTGGGAAGTGCATACTCAAGTTTGTTCAAATCAAGACCCCCAGGGACCATTTTATGCAAACAAAGTTTTACACAGGAATACATATGGAAAATATTTGATATAATTCTTCTTCTCAAGAACAGCAAAGTCATGATTACACTGTACTAGTCATATTTGTTTGGAAGCACGCTCAGGTAGTGTAGATTCCATTGTGTTCAAATTATGACCCCCGTGTATAGTGTGTAGCTACTATGGACGATCAAAATTTTTAGATATGAAAAATTTGTATTCAAATCTGATGAACAGCAACAGCCTAAATACTCATATTTGAATTAGAAGCACGCTCAGGAGGTGTATATTCATATTTGTTCAAATCATGACTCCAAGATAGAGTGGAACCGATTTTTTTTTCATTTTCTGGAACAACAAAGTTGTAATGTCATTCGTCATATTTGTATGGAAGTACAAGTATGTAGATTCTAAGACTGGAGTGGGTTGGGTCCACAAAATACATTATTTTAATTCTACATAGAAATTTCAGAGAAAGTTCTGCTGACGAAGATCGGCAACATACGTCATCATGTGAGCATTGTGGTCCACGAGCCTCTTGTACATATTTTTGTCATTTCTATCGCCGTGTGTGTATTTTTTCTGCTTATTGTTAGTCGCATGCGTAGCGCGGTGTTTAGAGTGTCTGCTCTATAGTCGCGAAATAAGGAGTTGATCTCACGTCGCGGGTTCAAATCCCTCTGTAGGACGTAGAGACCGCACCTGCGGATGAGACCGTCACTGTATAAACAAAGGTCCCGTGTCGCAGTAGGTGCTGGCATGAAAAAGACAAGACCCCTCACTGCTCAATGGCCCTATAAGCCGAGCATAGGACAAAAATTGCAACTATCCACCGACTTTTGGTGACTTCTCCAAATGAGTGAAAAATTCTCGAGACGGACAGTAAACTACAGACAATCAATCAATCTGCTTATTGTGTATTGCGTAAGGTTATCGAGTATCCAAATTCTGTCATAAGAAAAAATTGTTGCGTTAATCTGATGGCATGTCAAATTTACAAAAATGAGCTTAACATAGTTTCACAGTTGATAAATTAGGCTTATCAACTGTAAACTATAGTTTACAAACCGTGAACCATGGTTAAC